ATACCAAGTATTCACAAAATTGCAATAACACAATTAGTTTTAGAAGATAAGTCGTCATGACATGTACTTGGCATGTCTATGAAGAACTTCGTTGAAGTACATGTAAAGTATTTCGTATAAAAATTATAAGATCATTAAATATTTTATCCAGTTTAGTAATGATTTGATTAGAAGTGATACAATTGGAAATACACCTGGTGGCTTGGCAGTAAGTTAGAGGAATTATAACACTAAAAATCGGATTTCGACACCAGCGGTGGTTAAAGCACAAACAAAAATAAAACAATTGGAAAGTTATCCTATTTTCTTTCATTTTTTGGCATCTAAGTAATATTATAATTTTTTTTCTCGGGTTAGATGAAATTTGACATAACTCTACCATATAATTATTATCACAGTACTTAACTTTAGGTTTTAACTGTAATTAATAACATTAGAAATATCCTTGTTAACTGAAACTACTGTTTACCGGTCAGAGAAATTAGAATTATTTTTTAACACTATAGTGCCGGTACCGGTAGAACCGGGGTCGTATTAGCCTTGGATATCTGCATGCGGGAGTTTGAAGAGAGTCGAACTGTGGACCTTCTTCGGTGTGTGTACAGACTGAGACAAGATAGAGGAGGCGCTGTTCAAACAATACAGCAATATTCATTTGTCTATGAAGTAAGTAAAGCGTTTGCTTCAATTCAGATAATATATGAGGAACCTACCATCAATGAAACACTGTTAAAACCATGGGCGCAGGGCTGAGGAACTTCAAGTACTGGATAATAGGGGTCGTTAATTGTTTAATTGTGATTTTAAGCAAATAATGCAATAATCATCAGTTGGATGTTAACGTACTCACGTTAATCAATGTCTGGCCAGTGTAGGAGATATTTCTAAACCCAAATGTTAACCCTGCAAAGTAAAATATTTCGAAGATGGGAGTTAAATCATTCTAATTCTCAAGAACTATACTTTCACATGTTATCATCTTTTTTTTCCAGGCACTCAGTGAATATGCCTGCCGGCTGGTCAACCAGTCCCATCGTCCGTCCATTATGCCAGTCGTGTAACTGACCTCAGAAGAAAGTGGTTGTGCCAAACTTACTTCCCGTACTAAGATCTGCACGCAGCCTTGTTTAACATGAATCACGCAATGACAAACCTTAGATTAATGTTCGTTATTAGAATCGAGAAGAAAAGATTAGGCTTAACATAGATTCTCATTTGTATTTTCATATGCGATTTATAAGGAAGTTAGATTGTGTCTACAATTCTAAGACACTGTGCATGAAATAACTTATTGTGCCACGAAAGAGATTGATTTTAATGAAATAAGACGATATATACAGTTTGTGTTGTTGAGTGATTTACATATCCAGCTGGTTTAATTTAAAAAATATATAGTACAGATTTTATTTAAGTATTTTCGAATATAAATTTACGTGTGACGTAAGAGATTCATTTCGTTAGTTCATGTTTGTCTTCTTGTGTTTTATGGTCCCAGTGTAATATGTCAGACTGTTATAACAGTGAAAACTTCTAACTGTAATTGTGTAAGTGTTATTTTATCAACATACAATCTACTTATGTATTATTAACACAAAACCGGGTGTTATTAGGATTTCCAGAGTGTTACATTTGTAACAAAATGAAATTCTAACATTGTTAAAACGTCAGTTTGAAATAGGCCATTTTATTATCCCTATATACATATTGATTAATACTCTCGTCGGCAACGATTATTTAAAAAACCACGATATTGATGTATCTTATAGCTTGGTCATCGTGAAAATAAAACAAACGAGTATCATATTCCCTGTAGTCGTAGAAACGTAAAGCGCGCGAATCACTTTCTTTAAAAAAAAACCTACAAATTCAGATACAGTAGTGTTTAATACATCTAATCATGGAGACACGTGTGTACGGCCACCGTATCAAATATTTCACCATGAGTAAAAATTGTTCAGAACAGTTAGAACACTGCATACATTGGTGAAAAGAAAACGAAAAATATATAGCACTTATTTTGACTAATGATTAATAAAAAAACTGTTCACTGTTTGAAGGTGTATTTATGAACGTATTTATAAAGTGAATAATAAAAAAAAAATGGCGCTTTTCAAAAAATTGAGTTTTACTTCGTTATTAGAATGAATGTCGTAGTCAATGTGCGCGTGTATATAAAAAAACAACAACTTAAGTTGGGGGATCCACCCAACAGTATGTTATTTACTGTTGATAAATTGGGGGATCCACCCAGCAGAATGTTATTCACTGTTGATAAAGTTGGGGGATCCATCCAACAGTATGTTATTCACTGTTGATAAAGTTGGGGGATCCATCCAACAGTATGTTATTCACTGTTGATAAAGTTGGGGGATCCATCCAACAGTATGTTATTCACTGTTGATAAAGTTGGGGGATCCATCCAACAGTATGTTATTCATTGTTGATAAAGTTGGAAGACAATCTCTTGTGGTCAAAACACATACTAGAAAATACGTACTTACAGTTGTAGTTACATGATGTATGAAGGATTGAGTGGGTTACTTACAATAGAGTTGTAGCTACATGATCTATGAAGGATTGAGTTGATTACTTACAACAGAGTTGTAGCTACATGATGTTTGAATGATTGAGTGGGTTACTTACAATAGAGTTGTAGTTACATGATCTATGAAGGATTGAGTGGGTTACTTACAATAGAGTTGTAGCTACATGATGTATGAAGGATTGAGTTGATTACTTACAATAGAGTTGTAGCTACATGATGTTTGAAGGATTGAGTGGATTACTTACAATAGAGTTGTAGCTACATGATCTATGAAGGATTGAGTATTGAAATATCTACAACGAATGAGTTAATCTACCTATTGAAATATCTACAACGAATGAGTTAATCTATCGATTGAGATGTCTACAACGAATGAGTTAATTTACCTATTGAAATGTCTGTAACGAATGAGTTAATCTACCTATTGAAATATCTACAACGAATGAGTTAATCTACCGATTTAGATGTTTACAATGAATGAGTTAATCTACCTATTGAAATGTCTACAACGAATGAGTTAATCTACCGATTGAAGTGTCTACAATGAATGAGTTAACTTACCGATTGAAGTGTCTACAATAAATGAGTTAATTTACCTATTGAAGTGTCTACAATAAATGAGTTAATTTACCGATTGAAGTGTCTACAACGAATGAGTTAATCTACCGATTGAAGTGTCTACAATGAATGAGTT